AACTTACCTTCGGGGCCTACCGTGCTGATGAGCAGCTCCGCTCTGCCCTGGGCCCTCCCAGCCGCGGCCAGCACGGGCAGCGTCCCGGGGGCGCCCTCGCTCACGAACAGTCTCATTCCGCCGTGGATCCCACGCTGATGCAACCGGAACCGGCCTTCCGCCCGTGCGCCGAGAGACCAGCCCGAGGCACGCCGGGAAATGGAGTTCTAAACTAGGCCATTCCCCGCGCGCCGCTCCGGGGAAGTAGACTATTTCTCCCATCATGCAACGCTAGGAAACAGGAAAAGAGCATCATAGAGATGAAGAGACCGCCATTGCGGTGCTAAGAGAGGCACTTTATTGGTGGAGGAGTTTAGGCGGAGGGTCCGGCGCGCTCTAATGCAGCGGAAGGCCGGTGACAGAAACCTAGGTCTACAGTTGTCTTGCAGCGATCTCTTGACCAGCTGCTCACAGTGGCCTACTTTCCAAGTTCATAAGAATTGAAGTTGAGAGTTAGGATAAACTGACTTTAGTGATACAATGGGAATTAGTGTAGATATCCAATTAATAATAATATAAAATAATTGAGCTATTAAATAATGATTTAATATCAGTCTGCAGCTCAGATAAAGCTAGTCAATCTCATTAAAGGGGGAGGGAGCGTGTGTAGGGAAAAGGTCAGACTGAGGGGAAATAAGAAGGCTAAGAGTTTGGCAATAAGTATATATTATACAAGGAAGCACATAGGAGTAATTGAGAAAGGAATCCTTATTCATCTTTATATCCCTTTAAGGAAATTAATAATAGTACTTATGAGCTAGGCACTGTTCTGAGCACTTCACATATATTAATATAGTTCTCAAAAATTCTATAGAGGTTCTGGGCCTTTTGAAGCTAGGTCAAAAGAAGCTTGGCAGCTTCTGCCCATGCTTCTTAGAACACTCTGGTAGCCTGAGCTGCCATGCAAGAAGTCTTACTACCCTGAGACTGTCATGCTGGGGAGGCCTCATGTTGACATTCTGGCTGACAGCTCCAGCTGATCCCAACATTCCAGTCATCCCCATCATGGTCTCAGAAATATGAGTGAAGCTTTTCAGATCGACGTATCTGCCTGCTGAATACCACATGGGACAGAAAAATCACCCAGCTGAGCCCTATCCCAATTTTTGACCCATAAAATTGTGAGCTATATTAAAATGGTTGCTAATTAACAAAATACAACAAACCAACAAACCATGAGATAGGTTCTCTCATTCTCATTTTACAGATGAGGAAATGAGGCACAGAGAGGTTACTTTGTGTCAGGAACTATACAAGTCATTGAACACAGAATTATTAACAAAATAAATATAGGCTTCTGCCTTAGCAGAGCTCATAGACCTCCTGGACAGTGAGATAATCAAATGATATTTAAAGTGTGATGAAAATTATGATGGGGGCCCGCTGGGCATGGCTCGGCAGTTGAGCATTGACCTAGGATCCAGGCGATCAGGGTTCGATTCCCGGTCAGGGCACATGCCCGGGTTGCGGGTTGCAGCCTATCAATGGCTCTCTCATCATTGATGTTTCTGTCTCTCTCTCTCCTTCTCTTTTCCTCTCTCTGAAATCAATAAAGATATATTAAAAAAAAAAAAAAAAGTAAAAGTAAAATTCTTTAAAAAAGAAAAAAAAAAGAAAATTATGATGGGGGATGTAAAGCTTGCTGTGGGAACTATTAGTTAGGGCCCCTACCTAACTCTAAAGGGTTAAAAGAGCCCTTCTTGTGCGTGTGACCTTTTGACTGAGATATGAATAGTGAGTAAGAGTTAGCCAGGTGAAGATTGGTGGGAGCCCAGAGAGGAAGTGTTTCAGGCAGAGGAAACAACATATGCAAAGTTGCACTTTAGGAGTGTATTTACCAGAGGGAAGGGGGTGGAGGGTGAAGGGAGTCCTAATATATGGTGACGGGAGAAGATATGCCTTTGGGTGGTGGGCATACAGAGCAATATACAGATCTTGTAACATAGAAACCCACACCTGAAACCTATATGCTCATATTTACCATTGTCACCCCAATAAATTTAATTTAAAAATTATTTATTTATTAATTAAACTAAAAATGATTGTATTTAGTATGTGGCTGGAGTATGGAGTTTGTAATGGCTAGTGTGAAAAGTCTAGGATAAAGGTAAAAATGTCTGTAAACCATACTGTAAAATGTGGACAATGAGACAATGAGAAGCCTTTGAAAGGTTAAATCAGGGGAGTGGCAGGGCATTTTTGTGTTTTAGAGAAGTCACTCTGGCTGCTGAAAGGAATGGAGTAGAAATGAGCAGAACTATATGCAAGGAAACTAGTTAGGAGGTTATATCATCCAGGCTAAAGGGGATGGTAGTTGTAGGGAATAAAGGAAGTAGGTAGTTTGGAAAGGTTTAGTAATCAATTAAATGTAAGTGGTGAAGAAATAAGAGATATTAAGGTTGGCTGTCAGGTTTCTGGCATGGGCAATTGGGTACACCCTCTATGTGCTCCAACAGATGATAGTATTTCCCCTATGATAGTGAATATCACACTGTATTTTAATTGTTATGAGAGGTTAGGGACCATACTTGCCATCTTAATTGACAATACCCAGCACACAGTTCCTGCCTGGCACACATGCTAATAAGCATTCTATAAGTACTTACTGGATTTAAATTTAACTGAAGAGGGGTACTGGAAGAGAAACAAGTTCAGTTTAGAATATACTGTGTTTGTGGTACCTGTGAAATACCCAAGTAGAGTTTTCTAGTGGACAGTGGATGAGACTGGACCTCCAGATAAAGATCTGAAATGAAGATATGGTACTCAGTAGCACATGAGGTTCATTTGAGCCAGAGAGATTAAGACTACCTAGGGTATACAGAGCAGAAAGGGCACAGGATCTCAGACAGACCACTGGGCTTCAAGGAACAAGCAAAGGAAAGCCCTTCCTTATGCAACAGAGAAGGAAGTGCTAGAAAGGTAAGGGGGACACCCACAGTTACAGAAGGAGGAAAAAGTCAATTGTGTTGTCAGCTGCTGAGATGTCCAGCAGCATAAGTACTGCTAAGTGTCTGTGCAAACTCAGGGGTGACCCTAGTGAAGAGTGACCTTAGAAAGGTGAGGGAGTCAGGGGAGAGGAAATGAAGACCTTTGTGTGTAAGCAACTCTTTTTTATTTTTTATTTCTAATCTTTATTGATTTCAGAAAGAGGAAAGGAGAAGGAAATAGAGAGGTAGAAACATCAATGATGAGCGAGTGGTCATTGAAAGGCTGCCTCCTGCACGCCCCCTGCTGGGGATCGAGCCACAGCCTGGGCATGTGCCCTGACCAGGAATGGAACCAGGATCTCCTGGATCCTGGGTCAACGCTCAACTGCTGGGCCACGCCAGTCTGGGCTAAGCAACTCTTTCAAGAAGTTTGATTTTAAAAAGGAAGAAGTATGGTGGTAACCAGAGAGCACAGTCAAGGGAGGTTTGTCTAAAGAAGGGGAAGACTTGGGTGCTTTTCAAAGCTGATGAAAAAGATTCAAAAAGCTAATGAGAAGGAGCCAATAAAGATGGAGAGGATAAGTGCAGGAGAGATGGCTTCAGCGAAAGAAGAAAAGAATAGGATTTGAACATTTAACAAACATTAGATAAATGAATGAATGGGTGAAGTTGGTCACTATTTTGGAAGTGGAAAGGAAGAGTTGGAAGGTGGGATTCTCCACATTTTGAAAGTGGAGCAAACTAAGGAAAAATGTCAACCAGCCCTCAGTCCTGGCAACCCAGGCCTCAGGTCACACATCCAAGGAGGAGAGCTGTCTGTCTGATGTCACCAAGTGGAAGGTACCCCACCTCTACCCTACCTCTCCAAAGCCAGACAAAAAACCTCACAGAAAGCCTCACATTGTGCAGTGGTAAAACAGAGAAGGGGGAAAGAGGAGTGGGCAGGTAAGGGGGAAGCACAAGTGTGGGTTTTGAAGCTCTGGCAATGGACAGGAGGGGTCAGTTCCCACCTTCCAGGGAAAAGCTGACATCAGTCTCCCATCTACCCCAATATGCTGTCATAGTATCCTGTACTAGCTGTCCATAGTCCCCGATTCAATTGTAATTAATAAATTTATTGTGTCGTTAGTTAAGATCTCACTTTAAGCTCTAAGAGGGCAAGGGCTATGTCTATCTCCTTCCCCTCTCTTATCTGGAGTGCCTAACACTGTTCCTTTCACACAGGAGCCCATCCTTGTTAAAAGCATGAATGAAGGAACCCACACACTAAAGTTGGGCCCCGCCCAAGAGGCTTAACTACAGAGGATTATATCAAGGCTTCCCAAAACATTTCCTGGATTGGAAGGATGGTGGCATTTTCACCTCTGCCTCTAATTCTGAACCCCTCTGTTTTTTGCCCTTCAACTTTCTTGTTCTCTCCAGTTTGGTCTTACTATTTCTCTAGCTCTCTGTTTTTGTGTCTCTCTGACTACACAGGAAACACGCAGCTTTAGGTCTGAGGTGATCAGTAATGGAAACATTGGTGCCTGAGTACATTTAATAAAGGGTCACGAACTTTTTAATCGTTGTCATTAACTGTTTTCTCTTTGCCTGTGTTCTGTCTCAGACCTGATTCTTTTCCCTCATCTTCCTGTGTCCAGCTCAAGAGTCCCACCACCATCCAAGACCAACTTTTTTTGTCCCTGGATTTTCTGATGGGCCCCAGAAGGTACTTGGAGGAAAATCACTGAGCTAGGCTATGTCTGATTTCCTGCTTTGCTGGCCTCACAGCCGTGCTGACCACATCCTCTGTCACCTTACTTATACACTTCCTTACCAGTCACATCACTCAGGAGTTCTCAGCCCCCAAAACCTGTCACTGACCCCCATTCAGGCCCTTTGCTTTACCCTCTCCTTTCACCCCAGAATTCCTGTCCTTATCTTCCTCTGACACTGCTCTTAGACCATGTTGCTCTGCTCACAAGTAGCCAGTTCTGTCCTTTTCTGGGTATCCAACACCCCTTTTTCCCACCGGTGATAGTACTGGCCACAATGCTGTCAGGCCAGTGGTGGCCAAGTACTTGGGGGAGCCTAGGGCTGGGGCCCAGAAACACTTCTCAGGGATCCCAGCTCTGTGCCCTGTATGCCTTCACTTATACTGCGACAGATGGCCAGCAGATATCTCTGGCTGAAGGGGACAGGTTCCTACTGATTCGAAAGACCAACTCAGACTGGTGGTTGGCAAGGCGCCTGGGAGCACCATCCACCTCACGACCGATCTTTGTACCAGCTGCCTACATGACAGAGGAATCTACTGATTCCCAGAGCCTGACCACTGTCACCACCAGGCAATCCCTCTGGGCTCATGGTGAGTAAGCTTTCCCCATCATCTTCTTACCTTCCTGGCTTCTGGAAATTGTTGGAAGGATCTTCCTCCCCCAAGCTTCTGCTGATGCTTTTCCCTTATTGTCCTGTGATCAACCTCCTCCTTATATCCAGCATGGTGTCCCCATTGCCTCCCTTCCTTGTCTCACATCTTCAAGATCTCATTTTATTTTTCAACAACAGCCTACCCCTGCTCTTGTTCTCCCTGTGAGCTCCCAGGATGGAGCATCCTGCCAAGATCATGCCTCTGGTCACCTGCCCCCTACTCTCCCCATTTCTATTTCCAGGGCCAAAGTTGCTTCCTGACTCACCGGAGGAGCTGCACCTATCTCAGGCAACCCCAGGCAGAGCCCAGACTGCATTGCAGCAGCCCCCTCCTCTTCCCCCCAAAATTTGTAGAAGTGTCAGTGTTACCAATTTGAGGCCCACCCTCCTGAAGCCCTCCCAGGATGGACAAAGTGAAAGGTCTCTCTCCCAAGAGAACTTGCTGACAGAGGCCAATGCCAATGTGGTGAGTCACAGCTCTCCTTCTGAGCAGCTGCGATCAACAGATATTTACTGCTGGGCCCTGTTCTAGGCACAGTGGCAAACAGGGCACACAGACTAGACTCTCTGCTTTCAAGGGTTTCCATGGAGTGACAACACACATAAACAAGTATGTGTTGGTACCGATAAGTGCTACCAGGAAGGTAAATATAATGGAGAGGGACTGAACTGGCCTAGGAAGGCATCTCTGAGGAGATGCTGTTTAGTTGAATCTGAGTAAGGAGAAGTCAGAGACAGCCATGAGGCAAAGTAGGAGATGACAAAGAATTCTAGCTGAGGGACAGGAAAGCAAGTAGCAAAGACCCTGAGGGTGCATGGAACCTGGCAGATGATAGGGGGGCTGCAAGAAAAGCCAACCTCAGTTATGCTTTCTTTCTCTTCCTCCTACTCCTGGCCCAAGGCAGGGTCTGTCCTGTGTCAGGTCTTGCCAGCTCAAGTCACCAGTAAGTCCCCTCTAGAGATGGAACTCCCTAGCTCTTCCTGAAGACTCAGCCCCTCCCATCTCTTAGTTACTAGTGGTTGAAAAAACGGCACCTCCTTTCTCATACACCCTCCTCTCAGTCTCCTTTTACTCCGGAGGATGTAAGGGTGGGGAGCTCCCCTCAACTACCCCTTACACACAC